CATTCCATGTGGAATTGGAAGTTCTATTACTGATTACTAGACGAAATGCTGAGGTGAAAGCATTCAAATTGGCACCAAATTATCAATGGTATAAACTTCATTGAGGACCTTCTAAGAAACAGAAAATTTGGCTGCTGAAACAAGTTTGTCAATATCAGGTTTTAACATTTGCTTGGTGAGCTTTCCACCTAATTTGTTGAAGAAATCCCATTTAGGTATACAATCAAAAGTTCTTTTCAGTATACTTGTCTAAGAAAAGATTGCACATGAATAGGATCTAAAGAGTTCTATTTCTGAAAAAGAGGATTAAAGAAATCTAGATACAATGGACTCACTGAGGAAATGTGAAAACTTGACACTGAGAGAACTTGTTTCATCAGCATCAATTTCTTCTTTCAATGTCCTGAATGAAGTTTCTGCCATTGATAAGTTAGTGCTTCTGTGTAGCCTTTTGAATGTCCTCAGTTCTCATTTTAATGAAACATCAAAACCAGTCACACAATGGAATGATTTGCTTTCAAATTAAACATAAGTGAATAAAGGGATAGTTGTTATATATCAATATCACCAATTGCTTTGATTAAATTTTGCTCTGGCATGATGTTGACTCTGGACAACACAATGCATCATCGATCCAGGAAGCTGAACTGAACCAGAGAAGTTGCCGGGCCCGTTCGAACTGATCCAACTGCCGGTCTGGTCCCGTTTTAAAATAGAGATTTCTACATCAACAACCTTCGAGTAATTTTAATAATTTTCATAAAACTTTCATAGTTAATTACGTGAGAATTTGATTACCTTCCAGTCTAATTTAGTTAGTTCATTTTTTAATAAATTTGTATTTTAAGCTAATTCCTCTCCCTAAAAAGTAAAAATAAACTTCAAGGAAACTAAATTATTTTCTTTCATGTAAGATACAAATTATAAAATTATTTTCTCCTAAAGAGGCAGAGGACTTTTTCTGGATAAGCAGAGGAACAAGGACTAATTTAACACTTGAGATTTTTGTTCAGCTTTGTTTGCTGAAAACTTTCCTTGACCCTTGTTCTAACTGTTCTTCTTTCTTATCAAAAATCTTTCCACTTTACAATGTAATAATAATTAAAAACAACCCAACAAGTGATGAAGAGCAGAGCTTAGAGAAGGTGTTGAGATGGAAGAATGCGTTAACAAAGGCAGCTAATCTATCCGGATTTGATTCAAAGAGATTATATATCTGAGTAATAATGCTAAATGGAAGATTATACACAATATAGATGTTATATATATAAGAAAAAAGAAGAGAGAGATAATATATATATATATTATATATATAATATATATATATATAATATAAAAGTAAAGAAATTACATCACTTATTGTAAAACATTTAATGTGGTGTAACATCAAATATTACATGGTTGTAAGATTTTCCTCACAACCATTATAAATACATACAAGCATTAATAATATGAAATTACATAACATGAAGTTAATTAATTATTAGTAGGGAGTTTAACATTGGGATGAGATAAGGCCTTCTCACAGCATTCTGGATTGTATCTACAACAAAATGGAACTCAGCCTCAATGATTTCAATCAATGTACCAACAATTAAAACTACCATTATTATCATTTCAAGACGACAACCTCATCATTGAGCTTTCCATTATCAATCGAGATACTACCTACTGTGATGATCAACAACTCTCTTGATGATGAATAGATAGAATAAATGAACATGTATTTATAACTAATCCTAACTATATTAGAATTATAATCAACTGCATTCTTCACATATGGGGTTTATTCTACATTGAAAAAGAGGTTAAATGTTGGTTATTCAGTTTTTAAACCCTAAAAAAACTAATTAGTAACATATATACGTGATCATCTCAAATCCATGATATTTATAGGAGATTATGAGCTGAATCTAAAGTGATAGAGATTGAATTGACGATACATATGATGAAGGGTCAGTGTTAATCACACCCTAAAATGAAACAAAATACAAAATGTAAATTTTCTAGTTGAAACTTTTATAAAGTAAAAGAATACCAATTACAAAGTTCACATCCATTTAAAAAAAAAAAAAAAAAATCCAATCTTCACATTAATGTGAAACAACTGGTAGGTAATTCAATTATCTTACTAGTTTATCATATTTCATTGAACTTATAAGTAAAATACAGTTTAAACTTTTACCCCTTTTTGTGTATACTTATACTCTATGTTTTTGCATTAGAAAACCTTTATTTTATTTTATCAAAAAAGCTAAATCCAAGCAATCAACATTTTTTATTTTATTTGTTTTCGGAATATCAAATGTATTTTAATTTTATAAAGTAAATACAAAATTATTTGTATACAAAGATTTATTAACAACTTCGTGGATGATAATATTTGAAATTTTTCGCTTGCCCGGTTGCAACAAATCTTGACTCAATCACTGATTTTGGTCATATTTGTTTTTTTTCGTAGTGTAGACAAACTCTTTATTCTTTATTGTATTTCGATCTCCATAAAAAATTGTCATGAGTAAGTCAGTGTTCATTGGTTTTAAACGACAAACAAGATTTATTTTCTAAATATTATAAAAAAAAAAACCCATTTTCCAGTTTTCTCAAAAAACGAACAAAACAATTATTAATATATAAAGGCATTACAAAGAAGAGAATTTACAATTAAAATATGTAAGAATTTAAATAAATGCTTTGGCATCTCACAAATCACAATAATATTATTAATGTTCAATATGTTTTTTTTTATATAAATTTCAATTTAAAAGATTTATTTTTTTATTTTAAAAATCGATTAAGTAGGGGTCAAATAAAAACATTTTCTTTTTTACGAAAATGAAATGAACTTTTTAGTTCAGATGATAAAAGAATGCATTGGGCTGGCTGGGTCTTGCATCCCAACTCAACTGGGCTTGACCCATAAAAATTTAGGTCGATTGGGTTGAACTTGGGGTTTGGAGGGGTTTGAGTTGGTCTAGAAAACTCATTTCTTCTCAACATATAATATTCTTTTAAAAAAACAATTAAATTAAAAATTTAATAAAAAATTCAAAAGTGAAAGGCCTCCATAGATAGAAGAAGAACCGCAAAGCAACATCATCAACCAATATCACAATAACATTATCTATATTCTAGAACGAGATAAATTTAGTGACTTAAGTAAAAATTAGTACATTATTTCTTCAAAATTTCACTTTGGTCCCAACAATGGACCAAGATCCTCATAATTGATTACCTTAAAAAACCTAAACCTAAGGTATAAAAATAACCACCCATAGCTAGGGACTCCTATATAAGAATCTAAAATTGAAGGAGATGGACAATTCAAATTAGTTACACTTACCCTTTATGCTACCAAATCGTATCCACTAGTCTGATTAAAGAAGCAACAAAGAATCACGATTTCGGGCATTAAAAAACCAATTCTATATATAACACATCTAAGTATAACAAATCAAATCAAGAATCCATATGTTTGTCACAGTTGTAACAAATACTGATAGGAAACTGTTAGCATCATGACCAATGATAATCACATCATAAATCAAGAGTTATCCCATAAAAATATATAAACTATGTCTCCAAATTTATCTTATTCTGTTTCCTATTTGCTAAGAAGATGAATTCCACACCTTTTCACAGAGACACTGACCTTGCATACCATGTCCATAGACTTTAAAGCTTGCTTAATGTCATGAAGCCACTTTTCCTTATTGAAATACCTTCAAACTCTGTAGTGAAATATAGCCTAGCCAAAGGTGATCAGAATCACAGTTGAGGAACTAGGGGTGAGAATGTGAAAGAGAAAGAAACTATATATTTAATCTCTAAAAAGCATCGAATCTGGAAGAACTGTCTGGAATCCTCACATATTTGATCTGAATAATCAGACAGGAAAACACTAAACAAACAATGAATCCCATGAAGTTATCATTGTACCTGTGTGGAGGTAGTTGGATTCTTAATGAGGCTCCATGACTCTGATGGTAAACCACTCTGGAACTCACCACAGAAAGGCAAATATGAAATTGAGCAGATTGACTAGAGAGTTCCTGCATGTAAATATGTAGATCATGTAGCTCTAGATATACAAATTATTAACTTTAATTGACAAAGTATTCTAAGTAATTAGGGACAGATGCGAGAAGAGACCGACTGAAGCCGTAGTTCAGGAACATAACTGCCAACGTGATGTTGGTCGTGCTGCTTGATCTGTGACCCGTTCGGAGCAATTGAAAAACTGGACAAGATATTTGCAGAACTAGTTGGACTTAGTGGACTTGAGAATGTTTTCAATGCAACGCAAGCTTGTGCCCCCATAAAAATTATTCAAATGGAAGCTCTGGCAAAGACTCAAGCCTCTGGCAATTGTTCACTGAAAGATTTTAAGCTTAGAAAGCTGATTCATTCTTGATGGTAGGCTAACAAAATGGTTTCTACTTAAATCTAAAGTTTCTAAAGAGACTAAGGAACAAAGATCATTGGGATTGCTCCTCCAAAAGATTGCAATCACTCAAGTCTAATGTTCTAAGAGACTTCAGACCTATCAAATTAGCAGCGATAAACAAATTGAATCTTGATATCTTTTCGGCAAAAGCAATGACCAGATGAAGAAGTCCATGTTCTGTTTGCCCATTACATCCACGGAGAGACAGCTTTTCAAGATGTGTCAAGAGAGTAATAGAGGGTGGCAGTTCTCTTATTGCAGTCCCACTTAAATCTAGCTCCTCCAAACACTCGACTTCCCCAGTTCTGGGGAAGTTTTTCGAGTTTCGGAGCAGCCATATAGATTCAGATCTTGAGAGATTTCAAACCACAGCGCTGCTTGGGAAACTCACAAGATTTTTGCAGTCTTTCAAATTTAAAAGCACAGCTTTGTGAGCAGTCCAACGGATTCGTGAACCTCAAGCAAGCTTATACACCCTTCAAGATCAAGGCTCTCTATATTCGGAATTTGTGTGAAGTCTGGTGTTTTAATCAGATTGTAAGGTGACTAAGCTTCATGTTTTCAACTTCTCAAAAGCTACAAGAACACAAAAAATTGATTTCATAACTTAATAATTGATATGCATTCAGAGAGATTGAGCATTAATATGTATACCTTTATTCCGTTCAAAGATTGGACATGACTAAACACATGTGAGTTTACAAAAGTTCTGAGGATGAAACTTGAAGGCAAAGAATTTGAAGGATATTTATGCCATTTCAGAAATCGCAACTCATTTGAGAGGTACTAGGTCTCCCGAAATGTGCACATTACTGATTTTGAGCAGTCTCAAATTGTTCATTTTAGACAAGGATTTACCATTCAAGTTTAGAATTTCAACTTCAGGCTGGTCCAGTATCATTCCTTCAAACTGCATCAGTTCCCTTCAAAAATAAAAATAAATAAATGAATATTAATAGAGAAGTTACCTTGATGAAATGCAATATATGAAATAATGGTACATAATTCATTCTCTTAAAAAATTCTTAATATTTCTCTCAAAACACGAAAGCTATCCTTAGAAAGCCATAAACTACTCATTTTCCAGGGTTATCACGATGTTGTTCACGAACAAATTCCAACCCATTTCGTATCAAATCATGCATCCACAATTATTATTTCGGATGGTTATTAGAGATTTGTGTCGAGTTCTTTTATTCCTATGGCTGAATTAAAACCAAAACCATTCAGTTTTTCCATGACTTGATCTTTGTTTTTCCCATTAAAGAAACATGAGATATCTAAAAATATCTTTTATCTATTTGATCGGAATCATAACTTATTCTTAGCACTTTTGCAATTCTTTCATTGGAACATCCCGTAGTCTGTCCAAGGCATTGTCCATTCCTCTACACTTCTATTACACAAATAGGATCCCAACACTACAAGAGCTAATGGAAGTCCTTGCGTATAACTTACGACACTCATGGAGAGCCAAACATACTTACAGAGGGTTTCTTGTTTTGAAGGCCTTTGATTCAAACAGGTTGAGAGCTTCATCTTGTTTCAATCCTTCAACCTTAATATATGTGTATTTTATCCATGGCTTACAAGCAAATGTTGATCTCTAGTTGTAATGACGATTTACTACCAGAACCAAACCACTCATGCTCTCCAGCCAATGCTTCCAATTGTTCTAATTGATCAACATCATCAAGAACAAGAAAAACTCTTTTCCCAAGCCGACTACTTATCAAATTGATCCTGATGTAATCAATTTATATCAGTATTTTTGAACATTGTCATAAAAATCTTACCTTGGCCCCTGGTTTTATGCTGTAAGAGTAGCATCTGGAACTGCATGCATCCACATACTCTGCAATGTCATCATCCTCATCTCCATCTTCTGTCCTCGCAAGCCTAATCACCATTGATCTCACATTCTCACCAGGCCATTTGTATTCTACATGGGCTTCGCAGTCCAAATCAGCCACCATATCTCTCCATGGGTAATATAGTTCACTTCCACTGTTACATATTATTGCATCAAAATCTTCTATATTTACTGGGCAGCTTTTGATTGCTTCCATAGTCTACCATAAACTCGAACCAGTTAACAATATGAAGCCTACTTTGCCCAAGCCTATACTCAATCCTGCTGCTTTCATCACATTCTTGATTGTTGTTTGAAACTTCTCTGTGATATTGCTGTTGCTTTCATAGAAATAAGCAGCTATTACAGAGAGCATCTGCCTTCTACTAGGACTGCGAGTGACACTGGCACTGCCATTGAAGGAAGCCTTTTGGGTGATGGCTTCAATGAGTTTTTTCTGTTGCATTGCTGCATCAAGCTCCCCATTAAGCTTGAAGTCTCCTTCTATGGAGACCTTTAAAGAAAGATCTTCCACATCTTTTAGAGAGTCACTCATTGGTTCTTTAGGAACGTTCATGATCTCAAGACGTGTGGTTGGGTGATGGTTCCTACAGTCTTCTACATGTGAGAGGTGGTTACGGCAGTGTTCTATCCATGAAAAGCGGTGGATTTTCTTGAGTCCATTTTTTTGACAATCAGACTATTTCTTTTTCAGCAACCAGCTTTAGGAGGGCATCTGCTACGGCTTTCTGATCATGCGGGTCAATTAGGAGACCATTGTTAAGCACCTGGTGGTAAAACAGAGTCCTCTGTTACTATCAGTCTGAGTCATAAGGTGATACTATGATTAATTCATTAGGTGGCCAAAATTTCCCATCAAAGCTATTTCTGTCATAATTTCATAGTTTGGAGTGTTATAAGATGAGGTATTTTTGAATTCTGCATAATTTTAGTCTAGGCATGCATTTCTTCTACACAACTTTCTATAAAGGATGAGAAATTTGGAACCTTCACAATGTCCACAGGTCCCCCGTTCTTTGTGGCAATAATACACAAAGATGAGGCGCGGTTTCATTGATACTGCAAATTCCATTGAATACAAAAAGTAATGATTTAACCTAAATACAAAGATATATATATAGGCTAAACAAAGAATATGAAACAATCTACCCTTAATAAATAATAAAACAAAATAACCCATATTTCTTAACATCTCCCCTCAAACTCACGATGCGGCAGTCTACAAGCATCGAGAGTTGCCAACTAGAAAACGAAAACGGGAAATAGAATGCGACTTGGTAAGAAATCTGCAATCTGCACAGAGAGAAACCAATGTAAGGTAATGGTGCCATGCTTGAGATGATGACGAGTAAGGTGACAATCGATCTCAATGTGCTTAGTTTGTTCATGAAAAACCGAGTTGTGAGCAATCTGAATAGAATTCTGGTTGTCACAATACATAGGAGTGGGATGAGAAAAAGAAACGCCCATATCTGCAAGTAACCAACGTAACCAAACAATCTCTTTGGTAATAGATGTCATAGCACGATATTCTGCTTCGGTTGAAGATTGAGAAACAATAGATTGTTTCTTGCTCTTCTAAGAAATAAGAGAATCACCCAAAAAGATACAGAAACCAGTAACAGACTTGCGATCCGTGGGATCACTGCCATGATCAACATCAGAGTATGCACGTAGCTCCAAGGAAGAGGAGGATGGAAGTAAAAGACTCTAAAAGACTATACCCCGAAGATACCGCAAAATACGAAGAACAGCTGCCCAATGAACTGTAGTAGGAGAAGCAACAAACTGACTAACAACATGAACAACATATGTAATATCTGGACGAGTAATAGTGAGATATACCAAACTCCCAACAACAGTACGGTATAAAGTAGGATCTGATAAAGGTAAACCATCAGAAGAAGAATTCTTTGCATTAACCTCAATCGGAGTATCGACAGTTTTTTTATCAGTAAATCTAACCCGCTCAAGAATATCTGCAACATATTTCGACTGAGAGAGAAGATAACCTCTAGGTGAGTAGGCTATCTCAATACCCAAGAAATATCGTAAAGAACCCAAATCATTCATTTCAAACTGTTGAACTAACCCTGTCTTCAAAACTGAAATACCATCAATATCATCACCAGTAATAATCTTGTCATCAACATATAAAGACAAAATGATATGACCTGCATCAGTGCACTTAACAAAAAGAGCAGAATCATGACTATTAGAAGCAAATCCAAGGGAAGAGATCACAATAGAAAATTTCTCAAACCAAGCACGAGGTGCTTATTTAAGACCATATAACGCTTTCTTCAGCTTGCAAACATACCCANTATTGCACCATCAACAAATTCAGGTATGTGTGGCCAAAGTGACTCTTTTGCTATGTACCTGTAACACAAACATTAGAGCAATTCTTCCGAAAATAATCAACGTAAAAGCTTGGATCAGGCGAAGATTATTACTTATCGCGAGCACCACACGGGATGCGGATGATATAGGCTCCGCAACTGCCACTGCCGTCGACGGGGCAAGACAACATCTCAATGGGTTCACCATAGCTAAAGTCTACTTCTGGTGAGGCAATTTGCCTTGTCAAGAGATCCACACGATGAACTCCTTTAGTGTTGGCCAAGGCTCTTGCAAGTTCAACAACATATTTTACCTGAAAAAAATGTACTCAAGAATTAGACTAGAAATGTAATGTGATTTAGTACCAGCTCAGTAAGTTTATCATGCCAATACAATCTAAACGTTCCAAATTTTAAAAATATAAATACACAAAATAATTATGAAAATTAAAAAGATTAATGGTATTACCCGAAAATAATAAATTAAAAATATATGAGCATAAATACCTGACCACCAGTATCAGAATCTCTTCCAAGCTCCATATTTTCTCCTCGTATCAGCCCATGCATACTACAAACAAAAAATTAGACACAATATAAGTTTCTTAAAAATAATTCTTTTGATTTTAGGTTGTCGTACAGCACAGAGGTAATGTTACCCTAATATGAACATTAGATTATGGTTGGCGGGCATCTTATATAAACATTGCTCATTTCTCTTTCAAGTTCAGCACCTTAGAAACATTGAGCTCAGATGACAAATGTGTACATACCTTATCAAGACAATGTAGAGGTTCTTGCTAGACTTATCTTCATCATTCCATATTTGCAAGTCAGAATTGATTCTTGTTAAATATTTGGAAGATTCTGAAATATTAGCATCTCCCTTCTCCTTCTCGCCTTCGGAGAGCTCCGAAAGGTCATCAGCAGCATCGTTTCGACCTTGCTCACGCTCGAAACGTCTCTTTGCTAGCCTTTGTGCATCCTCCCAAGCAATCTACAAACATAAATATAATTTGTATGTATATATGGTAGTCTACTGTTTGACTTTGATAATTAAATGATAGACTTGTAAGATTGAAAGAAACTTATAGTATAGCGATATTTGTTTTGCAATGTGATTTATTGTCATATGCAAGTTATGCATCGGCATAGTTAGCATCATATGTAATTTCATTTATTTTTGGTTTAATTTATCAATCTGAATCTCTGATATTGACTGATTTAGATTAAGATTGAACCTTATATTTATGGGCCGGTAAGAGGAGAAAGAAGTACTTGTTTAGTTGAGCCCATTATTGAATGTGTACTCAGATATTTAATGTATGGACTTAGTGCACTGGGCTTTAATTTTTGTCTAGATTTTGAGAAAGTTTGTTAAAATTGGGCTGGAGATCCCGGTATCAAATTATTCATCAATTTAGCTGGAATTTTAACATGTTTTATAACAAAAACCCCCTTCAGTATAATCAAATAGCAAAAGTCCTTTTGTGGTTGTAGTAATAACAAAAATCTCTATACAGTTAAGTTTTTTGTGTTGAAATAAAGGGCAAAGTGGCAATTTTGTAAAATATTATTAACTTCTCTTATTATAAATTCTAACAGCACACTAATAAGAGGATTTATGTTATTTCTGAAATCTGATGGAGACTTTTGTTATTTTATTAAACCTTGGGGGTAGAGAAATCCACTAATTAAAAGTTAAAACCCAATTAATTATTAAGGTATTTTCATAATAACTCTTTTAAAAAGGTTACTAACTATTCTCATAATTTTAGATACCATTTTCAACCAAACTCAAAACATTTTAGGATGTCAATTAATTTTTTTTTTTTTTTTTTTCAAGAAAAAGAAAAAGAAAAAAAAGAAAAGATAGATACAAAAAGTAGAAAAATAAAGCAAGCCGGTCATAAGAACATGAATTTTCTTCAATTTTTCTTGGACTTTAAATTAAATGCTCCGTAAAGAAAAAGAAAAAGAAAAAGAAAGTGTAGATAAAATAGCGGAAGTTGAAGTTGAAAAGGTAATACTTGTTTCTTTTTGCGAGCAAGATGCCAAATTCGCCAGCACATATTCTCCAGCCTGTTACTCCCTTCACGGGAATTCCTTGTTGCTATTACCTGCATTCACATCAACCTTTCAGTATCTCACAAGTTTCCCTTTCCCTTTCCACTTTTCATTAAATTAAAAATTAAAAAGCCAGCTATTAAATTTTGTTTATTATGTTTCAAATGAGAACCAATATATGTGTATTTATTCAATCACAACGTACCATGCTAATATGTATAATTTACATGTGTATTGTGATTAAATATAGGTAGATGTATTTATTCACAAAAACATATATTTTTGTTACATGTGTTTGTACATTTGTTTAATACTGATGTAAAATATTAATACATCGTGATAGAATGATTACAAATGCGTTTGTGTTACTTAAAACTTTTTTTAATATATATTTATACACAAATAACAAAAATACAGGACATGCAACTTCCTAGTTTTGCTTGATTGTTGCAAATATTTGTATGCTATATATATGGTTACATTAATAATTTATTTTTGAAGTGGATTTAATTCATTTCATCTTTGGGTTAGTGTTATTGAACTTCTTGAATTTAAGTATAATTTATAACACTACATATAAACTTAGAATTATTATTGGATTCCCCTATTCTCTCTTAAGATTTTGCTTGATTATTGCTAATCTCATTTAAGAGTGGTGGTTGTTAATGTTAACAATAAGAGAACTTTAGGCAAAGTTAGAAAAACTTAGAAGGGCGAAATTGATCATTCTCAAAGTATTGGGAATTTTAGAGAGAGAAGGAGGAGGGGTGGGGTGGGTTTGGTTGTTGGTGTTGTGAAAATTAGCACTTTATTGTTTTATTTTGGTTTTTATTTTTATTTCACATTGGAGTAGTTATCTAGTATGTATACTTATACCAAGAACTTTGTATTTGACTTTTTTCTTTTTTTTTTTAAATCTCTATTTTATTTCAGGTGAAAATTTATAAATGATTTATCTAATTATATTCAATATCTCTCTCTCTCTCTCTCTCTCTCTATATATATATATATATATATATTCAATTTCATGTGTAATAAACTTGTTTAATTAAAAAAATAGAGTATAATTAATTAATGAAAATAGTAAGAGAAGAGAAAAGCTTCATATTGAAAGTTAATTTTCCTCCATTGAAAATATTTGTTATTATTATTATTATTGTTATTATATTCTTATTCTAAATTCCCATTTCTTTTTATAGTTATTATTGACAAAAAATATCACAAGTATATAAGGTCCCTTTACTGACATTTTTTTTCCAAAAATAAAAAATAGATAAAAAATCAGACTCTCTCAAAAAGGTCCAATATTGTAGCATTTTCTTTTAAGTTAACATCTCATTCCAAATAAAAAAATAATTTTTTTTTTAACAAAATGTTAATATTGGTTGGGACCCTAGAGAACCAATTTTTTTCATTTGGCCTACAAAGAGGATCAATCTAATTGTACTTCCAAACTCTGCCACACAAAATATTGAGATATATGTTCATTTTCTATATACATATATATATATATATTTTTAATTTCTTTTTTTTTTTATGTCCATAATTACATTATAATATGACATTTTCCCACATTGTTTATCAAACAATATGCATAAGAGAATGACTATATGAATAAATATATAGGCGTTGAGAGAATTGAACTGACCTTGACCCAAGTTCTATGGAGGTCAGATTCATCAAAACTATTAATCACTTCTTCAACGAAGTATTTTGTAGGGCTAAACAATTGCCCCTCCTTTTGCTTTGATTCTTCAAACTTTGAAAGCTTCAACTTCCCATCATCCATTTTTCTTTTCCCACTTCCCACATCTAAAATTGCCTCCAAGTACCCATTTATCCACTCATTTCCAGCCATTTCACCTTCTCTCTAGCTTCAACAAGCACTTTTCTTAGAAGCGCTTCTGAATCTTTGTTTATGATATATGAAGAAGAAAATTATTAAAGAAAAAGAAAAAAAGAAACTCAAAAGAAAGTGAAGTACTATTATTTTGAAAGATAATAAATATTCATTACAAGAAATACCACTTTCCGCAACGAAAATTTTCCTAGAAAATCTTCATGGTAGCAAAGAGAAAAGTTTTCAAAGAGAGAGAGAGAGGTGAGGTTTCAAGTAATGGCTCTTTGAAACCAAATTGGAAGTAAACAAGTAAAGGCTTTTTATAAGGATTGAGGAATGGGGTATTTACTATTTAGGTATATTTTTTTAATATTCTATAATATTTTATGAACTTTCTATTGTCTTATTGACGATATGGACTGTGGGATTGAGTGGTATTTGTTCTCTCCCTTTATTTTATGTTTAAAAATTCTCTTTACAAACGCATATTACTCTCACAACCATATTCTTCAATTATTCTCCACTTACACCTAAAAGTTCTTTCAAAATTTAAAACCTATATGGAGAATCCATTTTTTTTCTTTCATAAACTATCTATTCTTGCCTTATTATTAAGGGTCTTTTTTTCATCCTTTTTCCCAAAGCCTTAGGAAATATTGTAAAAATAAAATGGCAATGGTGGTCCTTGATACATCTTTGATGACCAATTGCAAAGAATATTTGTTATTCGGAATAATATTTGTTATTATGATAAACTTTGATGGTATGTGAAAACACTTGATTAGGAGAATTAATTATACTCGATCTAAAACATATATAAATTTTGTTCAATAATATAACACCCTGTTTTATTTCAAATTTTCTTATATGATGTTTAGATCAATTGATTAAACTTTTTAAGACATATGTTAAAATATGGATAAAACTGTAAAAAATAAGAGTAAAATGTGATTTATTATATGATAATACAAAATTTAATTGGTTGAAAATGTGCTTTTTCTTGAGATGAAACTTGTATAACCTATCAATTCGACCCAAATTAATCATTTTACAATTTTTTATAATGTAGAATTAAGTAATCAATTTAGAGTAATATATAAAAGAATGGGGTCTTTTTGCAAACTGAAAAAAAAAAGTAATATTTTGTCTTTGATGAGTTGCACTTGTTTCAAGGATGATGCGCTCAGAAACAAACTCATTTAGTACATTTTGTCTAAACTCTAGCAAACGACAGGTCTTTCCATTGTCGTTTTTATGCGAAATAACTTTATTCTTTGAGGGTCTTTACAATAGCAACTCTTGTTTGTATTTACAAAATAGAATTTTCTTTCAGCCCAACTTGTTTATTAAGTCAATGTTATCTTACAAATTTGACTTGAAAAACCTTTTGGAAGTAGTTTTTGGTGGAGATTTATCTTTTGGGTAATTTTTTTTTTTTTTCATAATTTTAAAAGAAAAACTTATAAGAGAGTTTTATTATCTCACCACATCAACATGGTGAAATGATGAGAAAAACATTCTTTTTTATAACAAAAAATTTACAACTAAAAAGAAAAATTAGATTTACACAACCAAATAATTAACAATCTTCACAGCTTCTATTTCTTTAAGCTCTATCTGAAAAAGGCATCATAAAATCTCAAAAGTTATAAAGATGTTAATTAATAAAGAGAGGTAAATCTATATGTATATCACACTCAACTATATTTTATAGTTCCACTTAGAAAAATAAATCACGATAAAAGGTTTTTAAAAGCAAGTAAAGCAATTAAATGTATCTTGCACAATTTTTCTTCAGAAAGTAAATTAAAATAACACGTGTGAACTTTAGTTTGTAAGCAATCAATTATTGCACATTTTCAAGGCATTAATTAGACCGTTATAAATAAACCCATCATTAATTTATATATAGAATAAAAGCGAGGGCATCACAAGAGCACAATCCACCTAAAAATGTTGCCTAAATATTAGTTTATACATAAAAGAATCAAAGAAAAGGAAAAGAGAAAGAGAAAAAAAGAGATAACAAAAAGTTAAGAGTGTGAGTTAGGAACCAAAGAATTAAGAATATTTGTTAAGATCATAAAAACACTTTAGACTGGTCATTCATTCTTCTTAAGAGATCATTTATCATCGGAAACACTTTTTTTAAGCATATTTTAAAGTGATTTTACCCGAATATAATTAATCTTTTCTTAAAAGAATCTTTTCATAAACACTTCGAAAGGACATCTTTTACAAAAGAAATCAAAGGGTATAGAACAACATGTGTAGTGTACTTGTGTATTTTTTTTATTGCTAGATACTTAATCTACTTTATAATTTACTTATTTTTTATTGACAATTTTTTCTTGTACCGTCAATATTTACTATGAATAGCTACTTGAATTATTGGCGGTTGATAATCAAGTACTTTTTTTAAAGATTATTCGAAATGTATATAGAGTACTTGTAAAAAAAAAAAAAATCTTCAAATTAAAGTACTACAAATAATTTAAAGTAATTAAGATATTAGCACTTCTTTATATATTATTTGAAGTATATATTTATATAAAAGTAGCTTTGTTCAAAAGCACTTTTGGTATAAGCTCTTAAAAATTAGAGATACCCATATTTTATGGATGTGGAAGTTTCATAAATTTTACTCCAGAAAAAGTAATAATTGAATTAGCACTTCTATTAAAAAAAAAAAAAAAAAAGCTTAAAAAATCAATACAAATTAATATTCAAGGATTTTTTTTTTTTCATTCACTTACTAAAAGGGAAAAAGATTATTTATTAAAAACTTTTAAGTCAATGGAAGATAGCAATACGGGAGAGAGAGATTTTGTATACAATAATACTATATTTACAAAGAAATCTTATAAAAATTTATATACAAAGTGAGGTGGCAAACTCTTTCATTCATTTTTTGCCGCATCACTTTGTATGGAGATCTTTGTAAAATTTCTTTGTAAGTATAGTATTACTTTTTTGTATAATTAACGAGGGAGAGTGATTTTGTAAAAATTTATTAAAAGAGACGTGTTTTACAATTAATGAGGAAAAAGATTGCATTANTAAATCTGTTAAAATAAAAGTACTTTTTGCATAAGCAGTTCCAACTTCCAAGTAAAAGTTACCCTTAAGTGTATGGATGTGGGAGTTAGGCAGGTTTACATCACAATCGCAATAAGAACAAATTTAATGGGAGAGAGCTCAGCAAATGCAATATGAGCTCGAGAAACTCAATGGATATTTGAAGGAATATCCAATTTCTTACAACTCTTATCACATTTTGTGACCATTCAACTAGTTTTATTCTTTTTATCTTCCTCACTTTCTTCCAAGAAAATATATGCCACTTGCATTTTATGATATAACAGCCACTTAATTTTGTTATAGTTTTTATTTTATTTTATTTTTATTTTGTATTATTTATCTTTTCTCTCATGTTACTTCTTGTTTTTATATGATTGATTGGTTCAAATTGAAGATGCTTTATGGAGCAATTAATGCTCATACTGAATTTCTGATGTCTATTTTTATATAAATTAATTTCGAATATGACTCAGCCTATCAATTATACCCTTTCATTTTATTTTATTTACCAGAATTTTTAGACGGATAGATCAATATAAAGGGGGTTAATTTGCGCTTAAGTTTCAAGCGTAGAATATTTTGAAAAACTATTAAACATTCCTTTAAAATTATGAAGACTCCTTAAGAATATTGGAAAAAAAAGAAGAAAAAAAACTCTTATAGTGAAATATAAAACCCCCCTATAATGTTAAAAAACCCTGAAATATTAGGTATTTAATAATTTCGAAAACTGGGTGTTTGAACTTAATAATCTCTTACAGGATGGATGAAATTAACTTTAATTAATTTTTTTTAAGGGTTTATATAATATTTAACATAACTAAAACCACGTGATAAATAATCAATCCTTTTTTGAGGTGGTGTTCTGATTTTTTTTTTTTTTTTAAATTAGGACAATGGTACAAGAAGTTTAAAAAAAATTTTGTACTATAAAAAATTCTATTTGCCAGAAATCTTGATCTCTATTTAAAAAAGAAAAAATTGATTCATTAATGACAATTCTCAACTATTGAGTAAATACAATTATATATCTGGTTTGATTTAATCTCAATGATTTTACTCAAAAATTGCATAAGCATAGATTGATTAAACTTATTTTTTATTAGCAACAGTTATATACCTGGTTTGATTTAATCTCAATGATCATACTCATTAAACTATTCATGTAAGATGATTTATATCAACATAAAATAATATGTATTATGTTTTTTTAAGCTCCTTTTTCCATGAACACTTGTACCGAAATAAATATAAATATTGAGCCTCTATCAATTAACTTAAGCTTTTAGGTACAGGGTAATTAACTTAATGTGGTATCATAACTAAATGTCAGAATTTTAAATCCCACAATATTAGTTTATAAAGGAGACACAATTTCTTGTTTTGTGTAAAAAATCTGTGAAATTTTTTTATTTATTAAAATGTTCTTAAAACAATTTCAAATGTAATTTAAAAAAAAAAAAAAATTTACCTTCCCCCATTTCACAATTTCTTAACTAAATTTTTTGGATATTATATCAATGTATTTTTAGATATTAAAAATAAATAATTATTTCAAGTTAGAATTTATATTGAATCGAGTTTCCAAAAATTATTTCCAAATCGTAAAAAAAAATACCACCAACAAAGTCATTTTCCATATTTGAAATTTCTCATTAAGTAACTGTGACTTACTAATAATCTTCAATACGACGAGCACACATGCTCCAATCTAATAAAGAGAATTGAAGATTTTATCACGAGTTAATAATATATCGATTTCTTTGTTCCAAAGGGGCACAAAAACCTTAAACTGTAAGTGTTCAAAGTAATTATTCATTCCAGGGGGTCAAGACGTTAATAAACTTAATAATATAATTATAGATAAACTTATAATAAGTAATATATTGGGTATAAGTTATACAAAACTATGAGTGTTTATTTATAGTGCTCTTTATAATTAATATATTTATGATTGTGTTTAATGATACGGAATAAATTTATAATACTTTAACGAGTGCAAAACAAAACTAAGAAAATTTACTAATTAACAAGTTATTAAACCAATACAAATAACTACACCTCCAAATTAAACTACAATAAAATTTCTACTAATAAAATATTCAAAGATTTATTTATCTTTTATAGTAAAATATTATAACTTTTGTTATAATTTCACTTTTGTGTTTCGACTCCTTAAAATAATGCATCAAAATATATATATAGTATTGAAACATAAAACAATTG